AAAAAGATCAATATACTCAATCAAATCAAGTGAATAAACAAGTAATGTAAGTGTATGACAGATAAAATCTTCATTATTCTGCTTGATAGTCAGTTTGGTTAGACGTATTCTTGTCGTTTCCGTACATTGTTTTATGTAAGAACTAATATTCATTCCGCTTCACATACTAATTGTACTCTGTCGATTTCAATTAAATATGAGCTCGACATTTTCTTACTTTCTTTTTTTTTTTCTTCTTCTTCTTTCCTAAAGGCTATCTTCAGATTGTAACTCGGTATCCCATGAGATGTCGACAAGCATAAGTCTATTCACAATCCAATTAACACTAGGGTTTCTCGTCATTTTTTTCGCTTCTTGCCTTATTCCATTGTAAGCTCAACAGATCCATCTTATTTTATTCGAGCTTAACCTTGTTTAATCAAAATCGAAAAACATAATATAAGATGAACAATTGTTTCCATCATTTATTCGTACAATTTAATTATACGGGTAGGAACTATAAGAGCAATGACTATGAGACATTTCTTTTTGTGGTAACGATTAAGAACGATTAGTCTTTCGTACTATGCTCGAGGACAGTTCAAAAATGTCATTTTCTTTCTATATTATTTGACTGTCTCTTATTCTAATTGTTCTTCTTATTTATGACGTCTTCGTTCATATACTATTATAACAGTTTTTATCTATGACTTCTTTCTTTCTTTTTTTTTTGTTCATTGCACTTCATGTCAGTAACATCGTTTTTTTTTAACAATAATATCACATATTTCTTTACTACCATAGTCATCAACAGTAGATTACATGAACAATAGTATTGAAAGAGATAATAATAAATCGTTGCTTTCTCATACATTGTCTTTCGTGTTCTTTTTCTTCTTCTTCTTCTTTCTATTCGACCTTTTTTTTTCAATTAAACAACAACGGAAGAATAGATGAACAATGAACATTCGTCATCACCATCATACTTCTCAACAGTTCTGTTTTCTTTTTCTTTTTAAATTTCTTACAGTTTTATATACTAATAATATTCATATTTTAGAAAATGAAAGATTAATTTCATAGATTGAATTCATGGAACAATATTTACGGCAACGAATTGATTGTCCATTACCAGGTGGTACACGTACATTACTTGAAGAAAAAGATAATATTATAAAAAAACAACAAGATGATTTAAATAAACTTCAAATACAAATAAAACAAATTCAAATTGAACGTGATTATATTTTTTCATTACTTCCAAATGAACAAAAATCAAATTTAAATCCGATGTAAGTTATATATCTTATAATTTATTGTTTATGATCAAGGTTCTATATACATGTGTTCGTTTTGCGTAATCAATTTTTTAAGCTAGTAAGCATATGTGTATGAATTGTGTCATCAGATAGATAAATGTATGTGGCTGCTGCTGCTGCTATCTAATATATGTGTCGAACGAGTGAACAGACAGCATACTATGCTAGAGGGCGACCAGTGACAAGACATTTTGATCCATCTTTCTTGCTTACATACGTCATCATTCATCAACTTTGACAATCATTCAACCTCATAGTCTTTTTCCTTGATATTTGACAGCTGCAAGATATATATATTCTCTTCTTTTTTTTCACGTCTACATTTACACACTATTTTTAATAAAATATAAAGAAAAAAAAATATTTATATATATATAGATTTTTTGATTTAGAATTACTAAAGTATACAAGATGCATTTAATCATATCCCATATCATTGTATGTTTTGTCTATCGTATTATCGATGCTTTTAAGTCTTGTTTAGTTTTGTCAGTTACATTCCTTTTTTGACATCATCAGTAGACTGATTATCTTATTTCTGATAGATACGTCACATATGTACATATGATAAACAATGTTTGTTCATAGAATTGTCAATTCTAATGTATTGATAATTTAATTCAAATGTTGAATTTATTTTTAGTACTGATAAAACAACATCATTTGCAATAAATATAATTGATATTCGACCTACACCATCAACAAATAATTTGATAACCAATTATGAACTTTCACAAGATCTTCATGATAAACAAATTGAGATTCTTGAACGAAAATATGGTGGAAATTTACGATGTCGTCATGCCGCAACAATAATTCAACGTGCATATCGTCAATATAAATTAAAAGAAAATTTTCGTCATCTATGTGCTACAATAAAAACTAATAAACGTTTATCATGTACATTTATTAATCAAACTTCCGATCAAAAACCTTTAAAACCATGTTTAAGATTAGGAAAAAAATCTGAAAGATATTTTCCTGATCATCATCTTGATTTACCATCGATAAATTTCGAACATTTTATTGAATCTACCAAACAACAAGATAATCTTTCAAATCATCGTAAACGTGTTTGTATTATTACTGATAAACCATTAAAAAATAATATCTATGAACAAGTTGATAATTTAAGTGATTTTATTGATAGACAAATAGTTGAACATAATGGATCATCATTAAATGATTTGAATTTTTATAAAGATTTAACTGATTCATCAATTCAATGTCGAAAATCAACACCATCGGGTAAAAACCTTGACAATATAATAGATAAAACATATTTTCTCAATAGAATTCATTTAACCTTGTTATTAGGGAGAAAGACAAGCATCTGGAAGAGGGGGAAAAAAAGAAACCTTTGCTACTGTATTATTGCTTTTCCATTTCTCTTATTAGATAATCCTTAACAATATATATATATATGTATTATATCTAATTTATAGTTCGTAGTTTATCATTAAAATCTCGACCTATTCAATCACAAGGAAATACATCACCAATATGGAAAAGAAAATCATCTTTAACAACGTTATCACCAATGCATGAATCATCTGATTTATTATTAGAAAATTCAAATCATTCGCTAATAACATGTATAAGTCCTTCATCAACATTAAGTTCTGATCATGATGATATGAGTTTAAAATCTCTAAGTAGTGGATCAAATTCAGGTTCATTATCTAATCGATTATCAGCAAATAGCATTGAATTACATCAACAACAACCATTAATTATAGAATATCAAACAGTTTTGCAAGGTGAACAACGTTTATTAAATATTCGTAATAATGAAATCTATAGACGACGATGTTATCGAGCAGGATTAAATATATTTAATAAGTATGTTAAATTTAGTTTATTTTTTTTTCATGTTACATAAATCTTTATGACAAAAGAGATTGTATCAAATTCAAATATGTTCTTAATTATAGAAGAAAAACTTTTCTCTTCAATTCTTTGTTTCTCTAATGAATCTGTCAAATCATGATAAGCTACAGACATTTTCTATTATAAATAACTTGAAAAATACTGACTTGATATTCCAATGTTTTTTACTAAAATATAAAACATGTAAGATCAATGATTTCTTTAATTATAGAAAACCTGAACGTGGTATTCGTTATTTAATTGCACATCGTTTTCTTGATTCAAATGCACAAGCTGTTGCACGATTTTTACTTTCACGTAAAGGTTTAAGTCGACAAATGATTGGAGAATATCTTGGAAATATACAAGATCCATTTGCTATGCAAGTCTTACAGTAAGTTCTTTATTAATATGAATTATATATATATATATATGAAATATTGTAGTGCATTTGTTAATGAGTTTGATTTTCATGATATGCCTATTGATATTGCATTGAGAAAATTTCAATCAACATTTCGATTACCAGTAAGAACTAAAGACAAATCAATTCTATTATTTCTTTTCTTTTTTTTATTAAAGGGTGAAGCACAAAAAATCGAACAATTAATGAAGGTAGATCAATTCTGAGAAAAAAACTTTGAAGAACACTTCAGTTTACTGAATTAAATCAGCGTTTTAGCTTCTTCTTCTTCTTCGTTTATTAATCTTTTCTTTTGTTTTATTCAAGGTATTTGCACAACGGTATTATGTAACCAATCCTTCATCATCATCATCATCATCACTTTCAAATGTTGATACAATATTTATATTAGCTTTTGCTATAATTATGTTAAATACTGATTTACATAGTCGAAATATAAAACCTGAAAGAAAAATGCGTTTGGAACAATTTATTAAAAATCTTCGTGGTAAAATTAATTAGTTTACTATAATTATATCAAAGAAATATGCATTTAGATAGAATATTTCTCCCATGTGTGTGTGTGTGCATTGACCGTTTACATATATATATATACATATGTACTAATGTCGGTTTCTTTCCAACATAAATACACAGAATACGGAACATAATGAATCTTTTTACCATTACTGTAGGCTATTAGTTGCTGTAATAGTAAAAGAAACGAATAGCACTGATTGCCAATTTGTCACTTTTTTTCTTCTTCTTCTTCTTCGCGTACTAACCGTAGACGTTTGTATAGAGAAGGATTAAACTATAAGCAAAAGTTTTCTTTTCTTTTTTTTTTTCTGTCTCCTGTTTTTTTTTCTCTTGGCAATACGCATTTCCGTGATCGGACAAAAGAATGCATGTGGAGCCTTTCTTTTGTATGCATGTATGTTAGTTGCGTGTCAGATTAATTTGCCGGTGTGTGAGCCGAAATGGATCGGGAAAAAAAGAAGAGGAAGAAAAACTCCACAAACCTTATGGTTCGTATAACGTAAAATGCTTTTATTCGTATTACATTCAATAGTTACTGTGAGTAATGACTATACAAAGCTCTTTTCTCATTTCTCTTTTGTTTCTCTTAATGAGCCACGCAAACATATACTAGCCGGATGAAACCAGCATTGCGCATCGATAGATAATCGAAAGGACAACACATAGCTTCGTCTGTATATACATATGCGTGGTTCTAAAATTTGCATGCTTGACTCGCATGTAGAAAGCACAACCAGGCAAGAATCAATTAGAGAACGTTTCTTCAAGTAAACATAACTACTAGCACCACTACTACCACAAATTGACCATCTGTAAGAAGCAAATAAAATAAGAAAGCGGTAAAGAGAAAGAGATAGAGAAAGAAGAGACGACAAGGCAATCCAAGTGGGGTCTCATTTTCTTCTTCGTCGTTTTTTTCCCTTCTCATCAATTGATGTCTCTACCGCCCCATTTATTCTACACTTATTGATAAATAAATCTTCAATGTGTCGAACATCATAGATGCTCGTCTCTCTTCTTCACTCAAATTACAAACACAAAAAGAAATATATATAGTATAAATGTAAGTTATTCACAGATTTTTTTTTTACTATTACGCATTATTACTCTGTTAGTAATCTTGATAAGAGCAGTCATAGTCGTCCTGTTATATTATTGAATTCAAATAAGATGCGCATGCTTTATATAATAAACTATCATTGTATGTTGTTGTCAATGATGATAGACATATCTTTAACGAAGCGCAACGAAATAGAGTAAAATACAAAGAGATGAAACAGATTAGACAACATTGAACTGATGTAAATGTAAAATGAAGCCTTTGTCATGTAAGTTCATTATTCCAATGAGATATTATTAAAAGGATCCAGAGAGAGAGAGAGAGAAGAGAGACAGAACAATGACAGTAAATTATGGAAAAGAAGACATGAATGAGATGATTTTTATATGAACAGATATAAGATTTCATTCTATAATACGAAGAACAAGCATTGATAAGTTTGATATGATTACTGAATTCTGACAATGACAGACGAAACTTGATTTGAGATGCTGATAGTTTTTCTAAGAATTAATGTAACGATTCACTGTCTTTTCCTCTGATAAAAAAGCTTAATCATCTTCATTGAGTTAGATTTGTAACAACGTTCGTATGTTAATTTATATGTACATATTCTTTTTTTTTCTTTCTTTCTTGGTAATTGAAATGATGGATAGGGATTTGTTTTAATTAATATATGTCACATATCGTTTTGTTGTACAAGTTTTGTCTAACTAAATTAGAATATGTTCAATCTCGTTTATTCAGTAAAAGAAAAACCATCAGATATGTAAACGGAAGAGTAAGAAAGTAGAAAGCAAATCGAATCATACGGTTTCTCTTTTCAAACTAAAAGGAAACACCCGCTACTACCGTTGCTTGAGGAATAAGTTTTTGCTTTTTCTCTTTTAGATTCTTCATTCGCTTGATTGCTATAAAGAGGCAAAGAAAAAGAGAGAGAGAGAGGCGATTTCCGCTTTGCGCACAATCCGACACTCGTTCATTAAAGACAAGTGGAGGAAAATGCATCTATGAGAACAAGCGTTTACTCACTTATTTACTCACTCGTCTACTACTTTTTCTTCTTATCATCAATTCTGTCAAGGTCTTTCACTCATAGTCAAAATCGAATTTTGCTTCGGCTCATATAGACTTGTATGAACGGTCTCACTCTATGTCAGTAATATTATTAGCGTTAAAAAGAGAAAAAGAGAACAGGAGAGACAGAGAGAGAGAGAGAGAGAAATAATTGCTTTCTTCTTTTCTTTGTCAATAGGAAAAGCTAAAGGGAAAAAAAAGAAAAGACTAAAAGAGAGGAAAAGAAGAAGAAGAAAAATGGAAAGAATAGAATCAAAATCGATCATTTCAATTTTCACAATACTCTATAGTAGACTGATTCTTTCCGCAAATCGCAGCAACGACAGAGAACGGAAACGAAGCAAAAATGTTGCACTGAACCGGAGAGAAAGAGAGAGAGAGGGAGAGGGAGAGACAAAGAAAGAGAGAGAGTGCGGCTTTTTCTTCGTTTCCTCTTTGGATGTATGTAAGAGAAAAAACCGAAGAAAATCATCATCTATAAATCATCGACCGCTTGCATGCATTAGTACCACTCATTGCTATCGTTCGCTTGTCGTTATTAAGCTAAAGCATGCGAGAAGGAGAAACAGAGATAGAGAAAAAAACTATATGTCAATAGACATTCAGCTTGATTCTTTTTCTATTCTTAATAATGATTATTATATTTTTAGCTATAGATGATGGTGAAGATCTTGATATAAACTATTTAACTAGTATTTATGAACGTATACGAGCCGATGAATTTCGTCCGGATAATGATCATGTAACACAAGTACTCAAATTTGAACAAGCATTAGTTGGTAAAAAACCAACATTAACAGCTCCACTTCGTCGACTTGTATGTTATTGTCGATTGTATGAAATTCATGATGTGACAAAACGTGAAAAACTTACAGCTCATCAACGTGAAGTATATCTATTCAATGATTTACTTATTGTAAGTTAATAATAAATCATATATATATAAGAATAATTTTTTTATTTTAAATAGATTACAAAACTATCTGGAAGAAAACGTCAACAATTTCGACAAGCATTTCGTTTATTAGGAATGAATATTTATCTGTTTGAAACACCATGTAAGTTTCCTTGTCTGATGTATCTCTCTCTCTCTATGTGTGTATGTGTTCTGATAGATCATCAATATGGTATAAGATTGATACGTAAATCGGATAGAACTGAAATAAATCTCATAATATTTAATGCAAGAAATGAACATGATCGAACAAAATTTTGTGATGATTTAAAAGAGGCAATTCTTGAAATGAATGAAATGGAAGGTTTACGTCGACAATCTGAATTTGATAAAATACGTGGTTCATCAAGTTCACTTGTTGATATAACAAATAATAATGGAATTCTTTCATCATTCATTGATAATTCAACAATAAAACGTGATAGACCATTATCAAGAACATTATCAAATTCATTATTAGATATAACATTACCAATAAGTAAGAAAATCTTTTTATTTATTTATTTTTCTAATTCTTTTATCTTCTATAGATAATCATCAATCAATACCATGTCAAACGTCTCAATGTTCACTTGATAGTGGAATGGTAAATAAATAAATAAATAAATAGTATTTATTTCATTTGAATAATAATCATATCTTTTTCACAACCAAAAAGTGTCCATTCGACATGATTTTATGGTTGCTTTCAGGTTGTGAATAGGATGGATTAGTTCTTGCTTTTTTTTTGTTTTATATAAATATATTATATCATTATTAGATTTCTTTCTCTTAGATATCATTGACAAATGAATTTTCACCAAACAATAGAATCATGTTGCGTTGACAAGTGAATAAATGTGAACTTATTGATTATAAAAGATAAAAAAAGATAAATGTGTTTCTTTTCTTTTATTTATATAAAACTAGTCAGTTGAATATAAACAGTTGTTTTACTTTTTTTTTTCTTTGGATTCCTATTTGTTGTGAAATAAAATCATTACTTATTTGATTACATAAAACATTTTCTTCTAATCAATCATTTGAACATAACACGACTGAAGTAGATTTTATTGGACGGGTTTTTTTTTTCTTCTAATAGAATTCAAGAGAAGGAATTATATGTATAACTTAATCAGAGATTAACAACAAAATACATGAATTTTAAATGATATGTAAAGCTTTATCTAAATCGATAGTTTTATTCTTAAGATTCAACAAACGGTAAAATCTTATTTGCAAATTAAATATAGAAATTAGTTTCTATATATATATATTATAATCGTTTTGCTAGATTAGTCTTTTCAAAGAATGTACATCATTGATTTGCATGTTTGACTGTATCAGTTTATCGTATAATCTTCTGTAGAAATATTGATTAAAAATGTAAAGCTGATTGATTATATAAGATGAAGACATACATTATAATGTACGGTAACAATTGATTTGTTATTAATTTTGACAAAAATTAATAAGAAAAATGTCAGTTTTCATTAAAGATGCAATGGCTACAATAACTTCTCTATTGGTAATCAACTCAACGATAAAATTTGCAAATATTTTTAAGCTAACAATAAAGAACTATTGTTTTTCTGTAGAACGTTAAATAAAGAGTATCATCAATCAATGTCTGTCAAACGACATGTATTACATAAAAAACGATTCTGAAATTTTTTTTTATAACTAAATAATCATAGTTTCTTCGTTTTGCAAACGTACTTATAATAGATATTATCAAAATACATACGATCGAATCCAGTCCGAATGATATTTTAGATGATATCTAAATTCATGTTAATTATAGTAATTTATTTATTGTCTGCGTTAATGAAAACATAACAAAATCTATGAAAGCATCAAATTGCCTGGAAAGTATTCTTATATGAATGACTTTCATCTATATCGAGCAAAAATGAAGAATAATGCTCTTCAGTGTTGTATATTTATGTTTAGTGTCAGTATTAAATAACAAAAAATATAAAACTTGATTGTTGATGTTTAATATATATATATATATCTTATTTTTGTATATAAATAAATCATTAAGAAAGTTATTCGATCTCCTAAGAATTGTGTGGTATACATTCCTGTTAGGAAAGATAAGTATGATTGGAATAATTAATTTGATTTAAATAGATATAGATTTACGAGTCGAGGCAATGATCTTAGCTGCATTTATCCATTGAAGAGTAAAATACTTATTACAAGAATTTCGGCAGTGTCTGTGTAAAAAATGTCTTTTTGTAGTTCAAAAACTACTTTTTTTTTATAAATTAATACTCTACAGATATAGATAAAAATATATGTCTGCTTATATAAGAAAAACAAAACACATGAAAGGTAAAGTTTAAATAATATCAAATATTTTAAAGTGATGAAAGTGATATTATTGCAGGTTGATACATTGTTTTTGATGATTTATTATAATTAAAATTATCTTCATCATCATCATGTTTATTAAATGCAACACGTTTTTTTGTTGATATTTCAGGAATATTCTGTAATTTTTTTTTATTTATTTCATCTGAATAATATGTTAATGTATTAAGGTCATCATTCAGACTTCGTTGATGAATATTATTTGATATTGGTTGACGAGAATGAATTAATGAACAATCATATAATGATGAAGCAGTAGTTGATATTAAACTTGTTGATCGTTTTGGTGGATCATAATTTATTCGTGAATAATTATGATAATCATCATCACCATCACTGTTATCATGATTATTATTATTATCATCATCACTTTCATCACTTTCTTCTTTTAATGGTACACGTACATCACGATTTGAATAAGATCGAGCACGTGTTTCATAATCAGGACTAGATGCATGTTGTGGTGATTGACATAAATTTGGACTTGAACTATAATGTCTTTGATTATACCGATTCGATGAATATATATCAGGTATTGAAAGTAGTGATGCATATGTTTCACTAAATAATGGTACAACTGTTTTTGGTATTGATGTATAATATGGATTATATGCACGCATTATTTCTCGATCTGGTTGTAATTTTTCATTAATTTTTTCAAGTTTATCATTCATATTTGTTTCAAATTGTCGATAACGACCAATGGGTGTTTTTAAATTAGATAGTTTCTCTTGATCTTGATGAAGACGTCGTTTAAGATTATAAGATGGTATTGATAAATCATTATTGAAAATATTAGATTTTGATGTTAATTTCATTGTTTGTGCAATTGTTGCATTAATATGTTCGTTATTAATATTATTTGCTACTTGATCTAATAAGACAGCACTTTCCATTTCACTTTCATGTCTTTGACGCATTAAACGTAAACATAAATTATTATTACGTTGACGATCTTGTATTTGTTCTAATTTTTGTTCACGTAAAAATTGAGCTTGTGATACTTTTAATTCTTCTTCACGATCCCATAAACTTAATTCTTCTAATTTATTCATTAAATGTCGTATACGATGTTCACGCCAATTAGGATTTAAACGTGAACGTGTTGTTTTCGGAACATATTTTTTTTCTTCATATAATGGAAATAAATTAATTGATGTTTGCAATTTATAACTATCAACTAATGCATCAATATAATC